AAGTCATTATGTTCAAGCAATCATGTGAACAAGAATCATGGTATTCTAATGTCCAGCTGCAAGCTATGCAGTTCAGGTTACAGGAGTAAGGAAAAAAAACCTTATGAAAGATGACCGGTAAGGGGATCTTAACCCTTGACTTGGTGTTGTCAGCACCATGCTCACCCAGTGAGCAAACCGGCCATCCCTATATGGGATCCGAACCCGTGGCTTTGGTATTATCAGCACCACACTCTCCCGAGTGAGCCATGGGCTGGCCCGAAAAAAACCCTTTTTAATTTAGAAGTTTAACAAAATGGAATCACTTCTGTTCAGCCTGTTACAATATGTTGCTGCAGTCTTTTATGGTGCCCTCTCTGACACCATGGGAGAGATTTAATTCTGGCTTCTGTACTGGGACGGTTATGCTTTCCCCATTGTTTTCCTCTGGCTGTGAGTCCAGTTTTGTGGCTCAACCCAAGAAGGTGAGCAGGGCCTCCTGCCTTCTACTTAGTGCTCCAGCTTCTCTTTCAGTGTCGCCCTCCTTCTGTATTCTCATTATCTGCTTCCCTGAATTAAAATGATTTATCATGTTTTACATAAAGTGTATTAAATCTATCTCAGAACAAGATGAAGATATAAGCACACAAATACAATTTAAACTTGGTAAGATCCCAGGTGACTTTCTGTCCTCCCTTTTGTAAGTCTGTCTCTCATGGACCTGGTTTCCCTGATATCCCTCCAAACTAGCAGCTGGAATAGCAAGCCAACATTCCTGCATTTGCCTCGAAATGGAATGAATAAAACCGATTCTGTTAGTTAATGGATCACTAATAGGTAAAATGTGGAAAATCTTGTAGTTAAGCAGTTTCCAGGCATTGTGGCTCTGCCTTCCACAAGAACAGCCGTTGAGTTCCTGGCCCAGAGCTCTGGCTTCCTAGTCAACTCTGCTCAACAAAAAATCAAATAACAACTATAAATGTTCAACAATTATTCTTTGTTCTAAGAATTAACAGATAGCTCAAGAATACCTACATTTTCTAAGATAAAAGATGATGCAAATTTATTTTTGTTTCATAATTTCTATTTCCATTTTTCAAAGTAAAATTTGTATCATTTCCCCGTGTATAAATTCAATCATTTGCTGTGGCCTTTTCCTGATACAAATAATAACACAGTAGGAAGAAGCTCTGGTATCTGCTAGGCACTGTGAAGAATCTGAAGAGGTCTAAGATATGGTTTCAACAAACAATAATCTTGAGAGCTAGCAGGGTGTGCATAAGTTAAATGAATTTCAACAAAGGAAGGTAGAAAGGCATGGTTTGGTGTGCATGGAATTGCTTGGAAATTTTGAAAAAATGAGATTATGGATCTTATCCCTGGAGATTCTGATAGGAAAGAAGTAGGAGAGCAAGAGGGGGCTTGTTATGACACAGATGCCTTGCCAGGTTTTAGGCTGACTATATATAAGTGTTGCCATCTTTGGTGCTGGGTTCTGGGGGAAGGTGCAGGTACACTTAACTCTTCTCTAGTTGCACCAAGCACTCAAGTCTCATGGGAGATACAGTAGTCCTCCCTTTATCCATAGGGGATACATTCCAAGATCCCCAGTAGATTGTAGATTCCTGAAATTGCAGATAGTGTAACAGACTGAACAGAAGTGACTCAATTTTGTTAAACTTCTAAATTAAAAAGTTTTTTTTCTTACTCTTGTAACCTGAACCACATAGCTGGCAGCTGTACATTAGAATGCAATGACTCTGGTTCACGTGATTGCTAGAACATGACTTTTGCTCACACTGTACACAGAATAATCAGAAGAAATTATTAACCTGGGTGGCCATTCTTTACTAGTCTACTAATTAGATCTTTTAGAGGTTAACAGGAGCTTAATCCATGACTTGACTTCATAGAGGATGGTCACCATGAATCAGCTCCCATCTGAGAATGTTATTTGATATTTATCTGCAATTTTATGATTATGCCTGCACATCCCTGCTTAGATCACCATGAATCAGTCCCCCTTACCACCTGTCTCTATAAAACCCTTTGACAAGTCTTGAAAACGCAGAGATGGTCTTTGAGGCATGAGTCCACCATTTCCCCAGGTTGCCGGCTTCCTAATTAAAGGCTACCTTTCCTTACAACAACACTTGTCTCTCAAGTACTGGCTATTGAATGGCAAGCAAATGGACCTTTGGGGTTTCAGTAACAATAGCACTGATTCCTATGCAACTGAATAGGATAGGCCTGTGAACTAAACTGATTCCATTTTCCCTGCAGAGGATACTTTATTACTGTAGTGGATTGAATTATGTCCCCTCAAAACTCTGTGAAGCTTGAATTGTGTCCCCCAAGTTTTATGTATTAGAAACTTAGGTCCCACTGTGACTATTAAGAGGGTGGGAGATCCTATTACGGTAATTGAAAGGTGGAGCCTTGAAGAGGTGATTAGATTGTAGGACCATGCAGTAGTGAATGGATTAAAAATGGTGGTCAGGGACATGGTGCTGAGAGCTTTAAAAGAAGAGGACAGTCTGCCTTTTGCTCTCTCTGCTTCCACCGTCTTGCAATGTGATATCCCTGGGTCACTGTCACTACCACCAGATGGACTTTGGACTTCCCAGCCTTAGAAACTGTAAGCAATATGGGCCGACCCCGTGGCGCACTCGGGAGAGTGCAGCACTGGGAGCGCAGCAGTGCTCCTGCCGCGGATTCGGATCCTATATAGGGATGGCTGGTGCGTTCACTGGCTGAGCACGGTGGTGCAGCCGGTCACAAAAAAGACAAAAAAAAAAAAAAAAAAGAAACTGTAAGCAATAAATTTCGTTTTTCTTTATAATTACCAAAAAAAAAAAAAAAAAAAAAAAAAAAGAAACTGTAAGCAATAAATTTCGTTTTTCTTTATAATTACCTGGTGCCATGTATTTTGTTATAAGGAACATAAAACAGACTAATACAGTTACTTTTCCACTCCTCAGGCATGAGAGCCCCCTCGGGCACATGATTACCCCATGTCCTGCCCTAATAAAATAAACTAAGAGGGGAACAGATATTCACTGAGTTGCAAAACCCCTCCCCAAGGTTTCTTTACTGTAATTGTAAAAATTAAGTTTCAGATCAACCTTAAGACCCCTTTAGAGATTCCCACAAGTGCACAAAGCTTCAAGGTGGCTGCTACAGTGACCTTCCTGGGGTGCCAATAATGAACACCACCACCATCTTGGACCTACTCAGCAGGCGCAAGGACCAAAGCCCTAACTAAGCATGTGCCCATGATGGTAACAGGAAGAACAGAATGGACCACCTCCAGTGACCCTGGCCTGCACCCCTTAACTCCTTTCCATGTAAAAGACCCTGAACAGCTCCCCTCGGGGGGCAAGCTTTCCTGTAGCTAACCCCCTTATGCATAAGTCTATCTCCTCTTCTGATAAAGCATTGCTTGTGTTGGGCCGGCAGAATAGGGGAATGTCAGCAAAATGGCACCAGGGCCTCCATCTTCTTGGACCCGCCCCTGGGACTTTCCCGCCCAACCTGAAGGTCACCTTCCAAGAGATCTCCTGCCATCAGAGCAACGGCTCAGGGCCATGTCACATCAGGGAAAATAGAACCTATGCAGGAAACCGAAACTTAACTTTACACAGCTACGCACCATATATGGGCCGCTGGCCAACAGCGACCCATGCTTATAAAAACCCCACCTGCCTTTGCCGGGCAAGAACCTCGCCTGGGAACGCCCCCATTAAAGTCTACCCTAAATTTACTGCCTGGCTCCTGGTTTCTTTGCTCCAGGTTTGAGACTTTAGCCTTCAAGATTCAAACCTAACAGTTTGCTTTACTGCTGGGTACATTGTTCATTTCTATGACTTTGGGACCCAAGAGCCTAATTTGGTAACATCTACATACACTGTTTTTTTTCCCTATACATACGGACCTATAAAATTTTAAGTTATAAATTTATAAGTCAGGGACAGTGAGAGATTATTAACCATAACTAATAATAAAATAAAACAATTATCACAGTATACTGCAATAAAAGTTATCACTCACTGTGGCCATCACTTTTGCAGTTTGAGGTGCAAAAGTAGCACAAATTTCTTTTTCTTCAGAATTTCTGGATAGAGGATTCATTCTTAACCATAGATCTTAGCAACTTCAGAATCCGATTCTTTTTTTCTTATTGAGAACTTTCACCTTTTCACTTAATGGAAGAGCTTTACAGCTTCTCTTTGGCATAGCTGAACTGGCCAACGTCACTACTCTTGCATTTTGTGGCCACTGTTAAAATAAGTTACATGAACACAAGCACTGCTATACAGCAACTGTCTATCTGATAACTGAGATGATTACTAAGTGGCAAACAAACGGGTGGAGTAGACAGCATGTATATGCTGGACAAAGGGATGATTTGTGAGAGCTCATCACGCTACTCAGAACAGCACACAATTTAAAACTTACGAATTATTTCTGGAATTTTCCATTTAATATTTTCATATCATGGTCAGCTGTGGGAAACTGAAACTGCAGAAAGTGAAACTGCAGATATGGGGGACAACTGTACAACTTAAGTGGCATTCCCTAGTGAAAACAGGGATGTCTTGTGGATGCTGAGAAGGCGGTGTGAGGTTGAGTTTTACATGGTCTTTGGAATCAGTCCCTGGCTTCTTGAGCTTGAACTCCAGCCCTTGGAATATGCCTGGAGCATTCGGCAGGTCCAATAAGAGGTTTTGAGAGGAAGAATCAGATAACCCTCTGAAAGGCATTCTTGTGCAGTCCATGCAAATAAAGGAAGACAAATTGGAAGAGTGGTTTTCTTTAAAGCCTTTCATAAATAAATCTTTTAACTATTATTCTCAAATACACAAATAACTCTTGAAAACACATTCTTCTTTTGAAAAAAAAAATGAGGAAATGTTAGAAAAAGCTTCCCACATCCCCAGTGTAACCACAGCTATCCGTTTGGTGTGTATGCTTCTAAGACATTTTCTGTGTTTATTATCAAAGGACGAAATTACAACAAATTTAAAGATCTCAATTGGTTTATTTTGAGCCTAGAATCCGGCAACACATCATTCCATGAAATAAAGTGTCCTTGTGAACTGAGCAGAAGAGGTTGGTCTTACAGACAAAGAAGAGCTTAAAAAAAAAAAAAAAAGCAGAATTAAAGAACAAACAGCATATTAGTCCTTTCAGAGATACTTTTCTGTGAGGCGGGGACAGGGAGGCAGAAAACTAACTGATTAGTTAACATCAGTAATCTCAGGTTAAAGCAGAGAGAACTTCGTTATCTGGGCCCATTGAAGACTGAAACTGGCCTATTTTGGAAACTGACCTTAAACTTTAGTAGCGGCGACTGCATTTTGATTTATTTAGCCTGTTCGGGTCAGTTGGGGCCTAGAGCAGGAGTTTAGTCCAAAACAATAGCCGCCTGTGACTTTAATATAACAATACACAATACTGTCTACGTCTTTCTTCCTGCTTCGCATAAACGCCCATTCCACAGCAGAACCAGTTTTTCCACCCGCTTTCTCCACTTAACTTACAAATGTCTGGTCCACTTAGGCGTCTTCCCAGGGCGGTAAGTGGGAGCCACGTGGCACCCACCCTAGACGCAGGGGCGGGGCTTGGGCGGCGCGCGGCGATGACGCCCGTGGCGCACGCGGTGACGGCTTCGGCGCAGGGGCAGGGCGGGGGTTGGGCGGTGTCGGGCACGCGCACACGTTGCATCCTCTCGCTTCGACGGCTGCGGGTGTTTCGGGCGCGGGGCAGGCGCAGTGACGGCCCCGCAGACTGGCGGCGATGGCGACGCTCTATCTGACCGTGAATTCGGGAGACCCTCCCCTGGGTGAGGGGCCGGGGCCGCCGGCTCGTGTGTGTTGCGTCAGCCCGGGAGGGTGCGGGGCGGGGAAGGTCGCCGCGCGCGGCTTTGCGCAGTGGCGGTCGCCGGCTGGGAGATTGGGCCTGCAGCCTTACTGAACCGTGCGCCGCGTGTGATTCGCTCCCCTCGCCCACTGTCCCCGGCAGGAGCATCTGCTCCCGAGGGCGGTTTTCCCAGGCGCGGAGGGTCGCGCGGCCTGAGTCGGGGCTCTGCGGCGGACCTGTTTTTCTCTGAGGGTTGACTGACTCCCAGCCGACTCTCTGCTCTCCTTGTAAAGTAGTTTCCCTCCGAGACCGAGAGGTTCTCGAAGAGGGGACATTTTAAAGCTGAAGATCACATTGTCTTCCCTCCCCCTCTTGTAGCGTTTTTCCACTCTCACTCTCCTTGTCTCACCTCACCTTCCCGTCCTTCCTGTCAGAAGAGATCCTCAGTCCACTCGGATCGACTTTTCCTTACGTTTTATCAGGTTCAGAGGGAACGAGGCAGACAGTCATATTAGCATTTGGGGTTTCAACTGAGGTTGCATCCTTTTCTGGTTAAAGGTGGTGGGGTAACTGCGGAAGCTCCCGGGTACGCAGCGGGTGGAAGGGCTGCTTTACCAACTACACGCCCTGTGCATGTAGTAAATGACAGTGAACGTGGGACCCGCCACCGTCCGGATACGTCTTGAGTTCCATTTGGAATTGCTTTTTTCACTTGGCCAAGGTTATTGTCAGTAGATAGCTTACAGTTTCTGCTTTTTCGTTAGTTTGGGAATTTACACCAAAGAATTTGAGTAGTTTACTGATCTCGTATTTGTTAATGTGATTGAGCACTCTAGACACACGAGTCCTTTCCAGTATTCAAGAAACCCAGGCCTTTAGATACAGTTCGTCACGTAGGGCTGATGAAATTACTCATTACTTTTCAACCTTGGTGGTGTTCTGAGTCTGTTGGAATAAAAACAATTTAATAGCATTTAAAAATGTTTAAGAAGTGATAATGTTTTAGCATCTTGGTTCTGGTAATTATGGACTAACCTCAACAAATCAATGAACTCTAAAAGAAATGGGTTTGATTCTTGGGCTGGAAGAGCACCAGACTCCGCAGCCTCCTGGTTGAAAGTAAAGGCATTTGGTTCTGGCGACCTGAGTCCAATCCTGGCTGCCACTTATTAGTGTGGAATTGTGTTTCTCCCACAATTTCCTTGTTTAAGATTCGGGAAATAATGCCTTCCACTTAGGGAATTAAATGAGACTGTAGGTAAAGTCCCTGACACAGATACTCAATCATTCCTTTGAAAGTCACCCTGAAAGTGATAGACCTGTTTCCTTAGTGAATTGTAGAACTCAGAATCACATTCCACCAGTATTCTGGAAAAGTCTCTTAAAGAAATTTGTTGTTATTTTAAGCTATAGACCAATTATAGAATATGTATCATTTTTATGGTTGCTGTTCCCCCTCCTTTTTTGTTTTTGATTTAATTCATCCCAGTTGTTTAAATAATACGATTAAATGAAATATTTAGAACAGTAGATTGCATTGCTAGAATTTCTCTATTTTATGTGTTTAGCATGTTAAGTATTTACATGTATTTTTTTAATGTTAAAATAACTTCAACCCTACAGAAAAGATGCAAGAATAGAACAAAATTTTTTTACCCTCTGTATCACCCAAGAGAATATTGCAGATATGATGGCTTCAGCATTCCAGAATACTCCAGTGTACATCTCCCACTGGCAAGGAAACTCTACATGACCTCACAGCCATCAAAATCAAGATACACACATTGATACAATTTTTACATCCAGTGCTTAGACTCTATTCTTGATCTAACGCTATTCCAACAGTGCTCTCCATGCTGCAGGGATCAAAATTCAGAGTCATGCTTTGTTTGCCCTTAGTTTCCATGTCTCCCCACTTTCTTTCAATATGGAATGGTTTATTAGTTTTTCCCATGGCTTTCATAGCTTTGACCTCTGTGAAGATTACAAGACATTTACTTGAGGAATATCCTGTGCCAGTTTGTCTGATGTTTCCTTCCTCGTGGCTAGATTTAGGCTATGTGTCTTTGGCAGGAATAGCACAGTGATTCCTTGTTCTTCATTGCAGCCCATTGATTGGTGCAGGAGTTTAGTTTTTCCATTGCTGATGATTCTAACCTTGGTTTCTTTAAGATGGTATCTGCCAGCTTTCCCTGCTGCAAAGTTTTCCGTTTACAATTCACAGGCATTTTAATGGAGAGATGCTTTGGGACCATGTAAACTTTCCACTCTCCATCAGACCTTTCCACTGGTTTCAATATTCATTGATGCTTCCTACCCAACTTGTTTATTATGATGGTTGCCAAATGGTGACCTTCCAATCCTACCATTCCTTCTACATGTATTGTTGGTATTTTTCTATGAGAAGAGCTTTTTCTTTTTCTCATTAAAAAAAAAAAAAAAATTCATAGCAAAATATACCCAATAGGTTATCATCTGTATTATTTTCATTTTTGATTTAAAAACTTTAAAACATTTTGTTTTTAAAAATTAGTTTTATTGATTATAACTTGCATATAATTAAGTTTACCAATTTTAAGAGTACAGATTGATTGACAAATATATACATCATATAACCTCCACCACAATGATTTAGTCTGTTTCCATTACTTCAGAAACTTCCCTTATTCCCTTTTGCACTTACCCCTTTCCCCATCCCTGGCACCTGGCAGCCACTGATCTGCTTTCTGTCAGTATTGTTTTGCTTTTTCTAGAAATTCGTAAACATTGAATCATGTCATATGTATTCTTTTGTACCTAGGGTAATGCTTTTGAGATTCATCTATCTTGTTGCCTGTAACAGTATTCATTGCTTTTATTTGCTGGATAGGATTACATTGGATGGATATGCTGAAATCTATCTCATTTATTTGGATGGTCAAAGTACCCCAATTTGCCCCTTCAAGCTGGCCTGTATGTCTTTTTGACATATAGTATTTCTTATCTTACTTTTGAGTACTTTCTTGCTTTCTAGCACAATAAGATTTTCCAGGTTAAGATTTTTTGCTTAGTCAAACAATTTTAATCAAGTTAATGATAAGCAGTAAAAGTGCAATTACATGGGAAGCCCCATATTTAACACGCTTAAAGTATTTTTCATTGCCCTTACTTGTAAGGAGTTGAAGGTGAAACCCACTCCTGAATCTTCTTTCTAGTGGTGGAATAAGGTACATATTGTTTTGGAGCACCACTTGAATTTATGGTTGGTCCACATGAATTTGTGAGCAGTAGGTCGTTTTGTTGTTGGAGGATCATGGTCATACGGTGAAGCCAACGATCCCATTCAGGAGACACCATGCTTCCATCCACATCCAAACGTGTTTTTGCCATTCATTTCATAAAACCCATCAGTAATGGCCAAAAAATTGCTTATTGTCTTCATAGTATTTGTTTCCATATTTGTCTTCCCCACTATTTGTCTTCCCCCACTACCAACCCTGCCATCATCTGTCCTGAAAGAAATTCTAGATAGTCGTGGATGCTGCTGTGGCCACTGACCTATTGCAGCTCATGCTTCAGGACCGGCAGTAACTCCATCTTATCCTTCCAGGTTTATTTTGTACCATCCCTGCCATGACCCTGTTTCCAGGGGAGCAGTGGTATTTAGAAACCAATATCTGAGTGCTGGTTGTCCATTTTTGCCAAATTAAGGGACAAGGGATTGATGAGTCAACTTAAGTGAACTTTATTAGGTGTTGAAAGGCAATATTACACTGTGTTTTAGAGTCTGAATTCTAAAAAAAAAAAAAAAAAAAGAGTCCGAACTCTGCACTGCCTTAAATCTATTCAAATCCTGACTGCCATGTGTTTAGTCAGGGACCGGTTATTTAACCTTTCTTAACCTCAGTTTCATCTTCTCTAAACGGGGATAATGGTATCTACCACTTAAGGTTGCTACAAAGATTAAAAATTATAAGGACTGTAAAGCATTTAGCATAGTGCCAAACACATAGCAATCACTCAGATGCTATTAACAATAGCTGTTATACAAAACGCTACTCTAATTTCCTCTTGTTTCCTGAGGGAGGAAAAGATTAATTTCAGTGTCTCTAAGTGGAAGCTGAGTGCATTCAAAAGCAGACTTTCTGTCTACAGACTACTGGGAAAAAAGTTTACTTCTTGCAGGACTTAATATTGGTTTGTTGACTCATCCTTATATCTCTATGATTCAAATTACAAATAATCCATAGTTTTCAAAGATAGATAAATCTTTCATTCATTATTTATAGGCGCTTTACTGGCAGTAGAACATGTGAAAGACGATGTCAGCATTTCTGTTGAAGAAGGGAAAGAGAACATTCTTCGTGTTTCTGAGTAAGTTCTTTTATATCTTTGTTTTCAGTACTGAATATCTTTTAAAAAATATTCAGCATTAAATGTTGTGTGCTTGTTTTATTTGCTAATTAGGTAGATTGTCCCTAGAAAGAAGTATGCTTCATCATCCAAAAAGAACTGAACCCAGAAACGTATATATGTCAGAAAGCTATCTGATTCCCCTTGTAATCTGACCAAAAGGAACTTGAAATGTACAAACAGGTTTATACATAAGGCTTTTAAATTTTGCTGTATTTTATTCTTGTGGAAAATTGGGAATATTTAAAATCAATATTAATAGAAAATAAATTTGGTAAGTCTACAGTATGGAATGTTAGGAATCTATGGAAAGAGGTTTATGAAGAATTTTTAATGATAGATATGTTTACAATCTAATGTTAATAAAAAAGGACCTTGGGG